TCAGGTCTGCCTATTTATCAAAGTGATGCTTTCTGATCCTATGAGGTCTATGTCTATGTGAACTTATAAATTTATATATATAAATTCACAAACTCCAAGTACAAATAAATTAATATGTCTCGAAGAGAGAGTGAGTGACTGAGTGAATGTGTGTATGTGCCTGTGTGTGTTTATGCTTGCTTGTGTGTATGCATGTGTGCTTGTGCACTTCAGTGTGTAATTTATTATTTTTTTCTAGGACCATCGGTTCTGTCAGGATTGGCGGTTATGATTATTTTGATCCCAGTGAATGGGTTTATGGCCAATCGAACAAAACAACTCCAGATTAAACAAATGAAGAACAAAGACCAGCGTGTAAAACTCATGAATGAAATCTTAAATGGAATTAAAGTGAGTATGGGGTCATTGCTGTTGCTGATGGTTTGCAGTGGGGGTTTTCCTATAGAATTTGAGTTCTTTGGTATTATATTTTATATTTTGATTTCATGCTTTACTTAAGAAGGTAATAAAAATAAAATTGAAAATAAAATTGTTCATCTTTAAATGGCTACTTTGGGATGAAGCTTTTATTTGGAAATAAACAAGATATAGGTTGTATTGTACAGTATGCATTTTCATGTGTGAGATAATGTTTTTTTTTTTTTTTTTTTCTTTCTTTTTCATGAAGGTTCTCAAATTGTATGCCTGGGAACCCTCATTTGAAGATCAGGTTTTATCAGTGCGAAGTAAGGAGATTAAGATATTGAAGCAGACAGCCTACCTTACAGCTGGAACCTCCTTCATTTGGGCCTGCACGCCATTCTTGGTAAGTAACTTGTGAATCATGAAAAGGTTTTTCAATAACTGTTGTAATTTTACATTTACTTAATTATTTACCTCTTCAGCCAACATATTGCCCTGTGTTTTTTTTTATTAATGTTCAGATACACTTCTGGAGTAAATGAATTTTTGACACGAAAATGCAGCTAGGCTGCTAAATACTTATTACAGTTTTGAACCTCTTTTCATTTCATACATTGAGTGTGAGCCACACCTCAGGCTGTTCTGAATCAAGAAAATATCAGCAGATGACATTCTAAACCTATTTCATGGAAATATTATGTTCTCTATTGTTGCATTTTATTCAACAATGTAATGACACTTGTATGATGACACATGAGCGGCATCAGTTGCAGTAAACTGGTCCTGGTTACCCTGTCTTTGAAATGTACTGAATGGTGGAATGATCCTTGATAACTTCCTGCATTAAACTAGAGCATTAGTTTGGAGAGTTTTTTGTTTTTTTTGTTAGGGGGACAGTCTAGGCCCCATGGAGCCTCTCCATGGGGGGTGAGCCCCCTAGAAATAAAAGAAATATTTTAACAGTCCCCTGGACCTCTCCATGAGTTATATTTTTTCCCTGAATGACCTAAAAAATGTATATATATTTTGATGAACTCTATGGGAAGGCCAATTCATTGGCTGAATTTTGAATTTCCGTTAACTATAATTTTGGACTGTCTGCCATTGCAAACAATAATTGAGTTAAGTACGTAATCAGTTTACTTTCTAATGATGTTTTATATAAAAAAGCTCATTTAGTATACTTAGAGATTATTACCAAGTCTATTAGAGTTAGGGATCATATTTTGTAAAGCTATTAATTTTTCTTTTTTTCTTTTTTCTCTTTGGATATGAAAGACAAGATGATTCTGAAACATTTGATCATAAATACAACTAATCTAAAATAGTAAATATATATATATTTTTTTTCTATTCCAATTATGAATAAAAGGAGAACTGTGGATAACAGTGTCAGTGCAAAATATATAAGTATATGTAAGTATAATCCTAGTGTGAATACAACATATCAGATCAAAATTTTAAATGATAGAAGTGCAACTGTATTTAAGAAAAAAAAAATTATCCCATTGTGAAGAAATGGAGAACTGTGGATAATAATGTCAGTACAAAATTATTATACAAGTATAATCCTAGCATGAATACAACATATCGATTCAAATTTGAAAGTTATAGAAGCACGTGTAAAATAGATTTACAGCGAGAATTTCTGAAGCCGTTGAATTTTTCCCACGCTCCAAAGGGGGAGGGGGAGCTGGTCACTGGGTACTGTTAATTTTTGAAAAGGTTGATCTTTTGGTAGTTATCCTTGTCCCGCTGAATTTTGGAATATTAACAATAACAGAGTACATAATTCTTAAGCACATTCCCTCAGAACCCAGTTAGATATCTCATCTGGTCCCTCTGCTTTAGTCTTGTCTAACCCTTTCAGTCTTTCATTTCATTCCTTTTGAGTGTGATATTTTTGATATTCTGATTTACGTTTGTACGGTTATTTGCCATTTCAAAGTATGGGTCCTGAACAAACACTGATTGAAATTTCTCATCAAGGATTTCACACATTTGCTCTTCCTTAGTATAAATGATGTTATTGTCTTTGATCTCTACTTTTAATCTTACTATTTATGTAGTTAAAGAAGAGCTTTGGTTGAGTTGTACAGTTACTGATTATATCCTTTTCAAAGTCTAATTTTGCCTCCATCATGGTTTGGGTATACTTATTTCTTCCTACTTTATACCTTTATATGTTGCTTGAGATCTGTGTCTTCTGAACCTTCTCCATAGGAGCTGTTTGTTTTCTCTCATTTTCTTTCATTTATCATTGTACCACATTTGGCCATTTCTTGCTTCAGTTTTGAATCTTGATACAAATATCTGCATTCCTTTTTATAGACTGCAAAATTTAGAATATTGCATATCAAGATTCTCTTTGTTCAGGAGTTTCCCAGTTTATACTATCAATGAAATCTTTAAAGCTTCTCTAATTAGCTCTCTTGTAATTGTATTTTCCTTTTCTTTCCTTACTTACAATGAGTTTTTCCTGTAGCAGACAGAATTTGAACTTAATTACTACATGATCACTTTTTCCTAGAGGAGGACAATACTCTATATCTATAATCTCATCTTTATGCTTTGTAAATATTAGGTCAGGTATAGACGTTGTTTACTTGTTGGTGCTTATTCCCTTGCTCCTCCCAAGAAATACCCCAATTTAGGTTCTAACAGTCTTTTGGTAGTTTCCTCATTCATATACATATAACATAGGCTAGCTCCCCCCCCCCCCACTGCCAGGGATAGTCCCCTGGCATGAGGGGTAGTCTGCCATGATGTGAATGGATGTCATCCCATTGTGAATTAGTTAAGAGCCATAACAAAGAAGAACCAACACTTTCTTAGGCTGAGTTATCTGTAAGGGATCATATTAAATTGTTGTAGCTGGGTGTCAAGACATCCATAAACCTGGTCATCAATGATATTTTAATGGTTTGTGCAGTTTCAGCTGTGTTCTTCAAGGCATACTTAGCATTACAAGAAAGTTGCATGCAGTGCATCCTCGCATGCAGAGCCAGATATATACCCACTTTAATTTTAGTACATTAACTCTATAAATACTGAGTCATCAAAGAATCAGTTACCATCGCATCACACTACTCAGGATACCAGGCTGGGTTTTTGCCCACATTTTTCTGAAATGGATCCGCGACCATCTACTAAGGCACTACAGACTGGAGCAGTCTGGATTCACTCCTGACATGTCCACAAAAGACTGTATCCTAGGACTTTGAGTAATTGTTGAATGCCGTTGTGAGTTTGGTTGTGGGTTGCTTGCAGCCTACATCAACCACAATAAGGTGTTTGACTTGGTGCATCCCAAATCGCTATGGGAGATCCTTAGACTTAGGGAATTCTGACATGGATTATTGGCCTAATAGCAAACCTAAATACTGGTACTGAAAGTGCTGTAAAGTGTGGTGGAGCCCTGTTAAAGTTCTTCCCTGTTAATTCAGGAGTGAGGCAGGCTGTGTCCTTGCACTAAGACTTTTCAACACATGAACTCAATTAGCAAGAGCATTTGGAGATGTCGATACCTATGCAGAAAGACCAAGGCCTTCATACTGCTAGTTTCGCTTTATGGAAGCAAAACCTGGATGCTATCTCGTGCCTTGGAGTCACGTCTTGATGCCTTTTGTAACAAGTCCCCTTGCCAGATCATGGGCTATGGTTAGTAGGACCATGAGTCCAGCTGATGGCTACACCATGAGACTGGCATGGGACCTGTTATTTGCATAATCCAGATTGCCAGCTCTGACTATATGGGCACCTAACTCCTTTCCCTGTGGATGACCCTGCCCATCAGGTTGTTTTTTTGCGAGACAATCCTGGGTGGAGGAGGCCCGTGAGACATCCTAAGAGGTCCTGGCTTGGACAGCTCAACCAGTCCTGTTGTTAGGAGTTGGAGATGGACCAAGGCCATGCCTGGAGACTTGCCATGAGGGACCCTGGAAGTGAATTGTGGATGCGTCCATACACCCCATTGGCGTTAGCCCCTTGATGGTGATGATGGAAGAGAATTATTAATCATAATCATCACACCTGTTTACCTTTTTTCTTGATTTTTGGAAAGTTTCTCTCTTATTTCTTATTGCTATTAGCATTATAATAACTATAATAATTATAATAACTATTGATATTAAAAACAAACTTTTCCTGTAAAATCAAGAAATCAAGTGAGGTCATTAGCACCTACTAATTGAATCTTTGGTGGCTAAGCGCTTGTGGAGACATTTGTGTGCAACAAAATTCATGAAAACTGCAGTGGATAGTACATGAAACCATGACAATGGGTTAAGAACCAGCGCATTTTCTGACTATGTCATTTACTAGGAATATTTTTAACAATATGGATAAGTTACATTTTATGTAAATGATATAAAACAGACAGTTTAAAACCTGCTAGTTTTAGTTTCACACTTGTGTTTTGGCCATTCCCAGACAGTGATCTTATTTTAGAATTATTATATAAAAATGTATATGGCTGTTTATGTGATTTTCTTACTGATTGTATCATAGACATTAGCGTAAAGAGAAGGTAACCAGCTCTGTATTTCTTTATGAAGATGACTTAGCTATTACTAATGCACACTGATTAGATAAAAGGTAAGTTCCATTTAAACAATATAGTATCTGTACTTATGTCTGAACCATGACATCTCATCAGCATGCCTTTTTTCAGGTAACCTTTGTCATGTTTATGACGTATGTGTTATCAGACCCATCACATGTTCTGGATGCTGAGAAGATTTTTGTGTCCATTACCCTCATGAATATTCTCCGTGATTCAGTGACAAGGTTGCCATTTGTTATATCATCAGTAGTACAGGTATTCAGTATTTGCAAACCATAACTGCAGAATATTTTTGTTGGGCATTTTTATGAAATGAACTTGGATTTATTAATGGGTTGCTTTATTTCCAGATTTTTAGAGTGCGCTGTGTTAATGTGGAAGTATTTTTAGATATTGTTTAATGTACCATGCCTTTATATTCAGGTTGTAATATTATGTGGAGACATTTTCAATCTCGTGAGTACTGAGCGTGTACTTAGTTTTACAACCAGTGTATGGAAAGATTAAAGAGATAGTGTATGTTGGTGTGTTTTTATTTGATGAGGTTTTGTCAGCAAGAAAAAGGCCTTTTCAAAGTATTTGTGGATTAATCAATATGGGTATACATTAGAACTGTGCTATGATTTATGCACTGAATGTTGGGTCTTGTTGCTTTGTCTATTGTAAGAAATAGGTTTTGATTTGTTTGTTTTTATGGGCCTCAACACTGAATCTTTCATCTGTTGTATTCACTTTTATCAGTTGCTTATTTTTCCTTTTTTTGTAATGCTTCTTACCTTCAGATTCATGTTCTGTTTCTGTCTCTTTTTTTGTTGTGTAACAATTGTGCTTTGGTGTGGTGTGTGGTGTGTGTGTGTGCGTGTGTGTGTGTGCGTGTGTGTGTGTGTGTGTGTGCGTGTGTGCGTGCGTGTGTGTGCGTGCGTGCGTGCGTGCGTGCGTGCGTGTGTGTGTGTGTGTGTGTGTGTGTGTGTGTGTGTGTGTGTGTGTGTGTGTGTGTGTGTGTGTGTGTGTGTGTGTGTATGTGTGTGCGTGTGTGTGTGTTAACAAGTAACAATGAACTTCTTTTCTTTTTATTAGTAATTTATTTTTATGATTATTTCTTTGAAGTTTCATATAATCTCTTTTAAATGTTTTTACTTTGAATTAAAATAATGATATAGATCTAAAGCAAGTGTCCTGTTTGTTGCTAATATTATACAAAATGACCAGGATTTAACAGTATTTTAAAATTTGATGCAATTATTATTGCCTTTAAAGTAAACTGAATATTGGTATCATTGACAAATACATCCATTAAGAATGTAGTGGTTTATAAATTCTCATTTTTTTTTAAGGCAAGTGTTTCCCTGAAGAGAATGAACAAATTCATGAATGCAGATGAGCTGGATCCAAACTGTGTGTCAAAAGAAAATACTGAAAGTAAGTCTTTTTTTTTTGTATGTGAATCTTTAATGTTATATACTTGGGTTATATATATATGTATAATTATAGTGGTGTAAATTCAGAGAAAGTAGTTTAGAAATTAAAGTGGTTTGATATAGAAGTCTCATAAGTTTTGCTTGGAAAACAGTTAAAAGATTACAACTGAATTCTATATTATTGTTATAATGATCACATTCTTATCCCAGTACCTCACGTTCCTCATATCTCAACATAAAATTCTCAGGCTTCCCAGTTGTGATGGAGAATGGAACTTTTGCTTGGGGCCACGGTGAAGAAGATGGAGAGCCTGTGTTGAAAGGCATCAACTTACGTGTCACAGAAGGATCTCTGGTAGCAGTTGTTGGGACTGTGGGAGCAGGAAAGTCCTCACTCCTGTCTGCCATCTTGGGGGAGATGGATAAACAATCTGGCAGGATAAATATTAAGGTGAAAATTTTGTGAAAGTTTTTATTTTAGCTGTTACAACATTTGATAAAGTTGATATCCCATGGAAAAGATGTGGGTAATTGCCTCTGCAAGATCAAGGTAATTTGATAAACATTGTCATTTTTTTTCCCCACTTCAGGGCCAAGTTGCTTATGCCTCTCAGCAAGCCTGGATACAGAATGCAACTCTAGAGGCAAACATAACTTTCGGGCAAAGTCATGAACCCAATTGGTACACCTCCTGCGTTCAAGCTTGCGCTCTACAGCCTGATTTTGACATACTTCCTGGCGGAGACCAAACAGAGATTGGGGAAAAGGTGTGTTATACAGTAGACTACAGTGTTTAAGAAATTGACTTCAAATTATATGTACTTTTTATATATTGCTCATTTGAGATTCTGTTTGTGGAATTGTAATGTGATCTTTTGTTTTTTAAATTCTGTGTTTAGGGGATTAATCTGAGTGGAGGTCAGAAGCAGCGTGTTAGTCTTGCACGAGCTGTTTATGCAGATGCGGATATTTATCTTCTTGATGATCCCCTGAGTGCTGTGGATTCCCATGTTGGCAGACATATTTTTGAGAATGTCATTGGACCGCAGGGTTTGCTTAAGAAAAAGGTGAGGCTTATACTGTGTCCTGCTCTTTTTGCTAGATGTTTTTATATTC